ATTACTACTACTATTATTGTTAGTAGCAGGTAGTGATGATGGTAGTAGTAATAGCACCCGTAGTAGTAGCAGTAGCAGTAGCAGTAGCAGTAGCAGTAGCAGTAGCAGTAGCAGTAGTAGGAGTAGTAGTAGTAGTTGTTGTTGTTGTCGTCGTCGTCGTCGTCGTTGTTGTTATTGTACGATGATGATGACGATGATGATGATGAGGATGATGATTAATTTTATTCTGGGCACTAACGTTGCAAGCCACAGGTCTTTTTATCCTTCTTCTTTTTGTCGCTTTTCTTCTTTTTGTCCTTGTCCTTCTTCTTTGCCTGCAAGAGATGCAGCTGAGGCAATACCGGTTTAGGGCGAGGACCTGAGTTACCCCAACCGCTATATTAAAGACCATACAACTCTCAAAGGACTATCACGGGGTCCAAATTATACACGATGAGGTAACGAAGAAAACCCTTATTGTCAGGTGCGTATGGAGATCTGACCAAAGTCCCCTTGGAATCCTTTTGATTTCATGGGTTTTCTTACCACCCACCTCTCTACTAATCTTAATTAGGCCTACTTATCCCGAAATTACCCTAATTAAGAGGGGAACCTCGGGCGGGGTAGTATAGGAGGGGGGGGGGGTAGTAGGTCTTCACCCTAAACCCTGAACCCTATAGGGGAATCCATGATGATTTCTCCTTATATACCAGGCAAAAAACAAGGCGAGATCGGGAACTTTGAGAAACCCGAGGTTCCTCTCTATGGCCTTTGCTTCCATAAACTTACTGGTTCTTAGTAGGGAGGGAATATCTCCCCATAGAACATAATAGCTATATCGTATATTCCCTGATTCCCTACTAACCCCCAACCCTAAGCCCTAAACCCGGTATATCTATACATGTATGTATATATATACATATATCTATATATATTCCCTGATTCCCTACGAAGAACCAGTAAGTTAAAACCTGAACCGATAGCAGGCTGAGAATCACTCTGCCTAGGGCGCAGCACAGCTTTGATGAAGGACAAAAAGATGATGTGGAGGCTTCCCAAAAAGTGCCCCGCCAAATTCACATCACTATAATATAATCCCTGAGACGCTATAGGCGCTGCCAAAGTTGGACCCCTATATGTTTCGGAAACCCCCAATACAATCTTTGCAAAATTGTGCGATGAATGTAAGGGGATAAAAGGGAAAACGTAGGAATGAAGGCGGATGCATGAAGGCTTCTGAAAGAACACGTGCCTATGTTTGAGGGCCTTCAACTCAGGACATTGCTGCCTCAAAAGGATACACATACTACGTTCGCTCAGATACAGGAACCCATCATTAACGATACTGCCATATGGGTGGTTGTCAAAATCATGGTCCCTTTTTGGATCCCTATTATAATAAGGCACCTAATAGTCAGGGTACCCAAAAATGGACCAGAATTTTGACAACCACCCATATGCTGAAAACAGCACTTGATTTCTAGAACGGACTGACCTCCGGTTGAGGATTACCGTTTAGGGTTCAGGGTTTAGGATTTCGTGTTCTACTAACAACCAGCGACAGAAGCACCGGAGTAACAGCGACCATGCTCGCACTCAGCTTTTGCCTGATACTGCTGATACTGAAATCCTGCATGCACGCCACAGCACTATTTTTCCCGAAATCAAGGGTACTCTGGGTCATGCAAGAGGTGTAGTAGCACCCTCATAGCAGCAACAGATCAACAATGCATGGGGCAGCCATACTCATAACAAATGCCTAAGAATCTTGTCGTTGGTAAAAAGTCTGCTGTTGCATTGCCGTTAGACCCTAAAACCTGAACCCTAAACCCTAGGGCTAAGCCCTACCGAACCCATAACCCAAAGCACTACATCCTCAACCCTAAAACCAAAATCCTAAATCTCAAACCCAAAGCCCGAAACCCTAATTCACAATCCCATTGCTTTAAACCCTAATAATCCCAAACCCTAGATCCTAAACCCTGACTCCTAAACCCTAAATCCTAAACCCTGAATTCTCAACCCTAAACCCTAAATCCCAAACCTACAACCCACAACCCCAAATCCTCAAGCCTAACTCCGAAACCCTAAGTCCTCTTCTGCTGGCTGCAGCTAAGGATTGCTAACCGCGCTTGCAAGGCCTTGCAACAAGCTGGGTTGGCGTTAAGGAACTTCATTTCAATTACCATGGTATGGGTATGTGGTAAATAGTAGGGTTTCCTTGTTATAG